ATACGAGGCAATTGGAAATATCATGGCTTGTGTCAGGCGCACCTTAGTCCTCAAGGAGATATCCTTGCTCCTCAGCACTTGAAACAGTTCCTTCGCAGTTTCATTTCATTACTGGTGTCAATGTGTCAAATCTATTCTTCAGATGGTCTCTAAATTCAGCTGGGATATAATCAAGGTCATATTTTGGCTCTTGTGGACTTGTTTTAATTCTCCTCAGCTTCAACTTGAACTTGCATATAAGCAATTGATGGTCTGTTCCACAGTCAGTTGTGGGCCTTGTTTTGATTGATGATATTGCGCTTTTCCATTGCCTCTTTGCACAAATGTAGTCAAATTGATTTGTCTACTACATCTGGTGAGGTCCATGGTATAGTCACCATTTATGTTGCTGAAAAAAAGGTATTTGAAATGAAGAAGTAATTAGTCTTATAAAATTCTAGCCTGTGTTCTCCAGCACCACTTCTATCACCAAGGTCATATTTTCCAACTAGCAATGCTTCTACCTTGTTTCTAACTTTCACATTCCAATAACCAGTAATTATCAATACATCATGACCACGTTTGGTCAACTGCAGACTGCAGAAGTTGGTAAAAATGTTCGATTTCTTCATCTTTTGCTTTGGACGTGGGTGTGTAACTTTGAGTAGCAGTCGTCTTAACTGGTCTTCCTTGTAGGTGTAGGGTATTATCCTATCACTGACAGCACTGTACTTCAGGACAGATCTTGAAGCATTCTTCTGGACAATGAATGCAACGCCATTCCTCTTCAACTTGTCACTCCTAGCATAGTGGACCATACGATTGTCTGATTCAAAATGACCAAATACCAGTTGAGTTAAGCTCACAAATGCCTAGGATATTGATCTGATACATTCCATTTTATTTTTGACAATTTCTAATTCTCCTAGATACATAATTCTTATATTCCACCTTCTGATTATGAATGAATATTTGCAGCTGTTTATTCCCATTTTGAGTCATGCCACACCAACAAATGAAGGTCCTGAAAGCTTTACTCCACACATCACTAACGTCAACTCTATTCTGAGGAGGCAGCTCTTCTCCAGTCATATTTTGAGTGCCTTCCAATCTGAGGGGCTTATCTTCTGGTACTGTATCAGGCAATGTTTCACCCCTCTTCATAAAATTTTCCAGTAATATATCAGACGGCATTTTATTGCTATTCATAAAGTTTTCAGTGGCCAATTTTTTAAAAGTGGACGGCCCCAACCTTCTTCCCAGTCTAGAAGATCCACTGAAACCTGTCCACCATTGGTGACCCTGCTGGTATTTGAAATAATGGTGGCATAGCCTCCAGACTCACAGCAACACACAAGCCACCACACTATGACAAACTGACAGACGAGTAATGGAGTACTTAGTATATGTACTATTTATATCATTTCTCTTGCAGGCTGAAGAACATACTGTGAGAGATCCACGCTATTTACAATTAACTATATTTAAACTAATCTTGCATTAGGTCAAAGGTGGTTGAATATATAGATACTCAATCTTATTCTTAAATAATGCAAAATTTTACAAAACCAAGCTAGCATTTTACTTAGTAAATTTGCAAAAATGTTAAAAACTCAAATCTGAGGTTGGTGAGGGAAAGAATGAAGGGCATCTCTTATCTGCTGTAGTTGTACTATATATTGGTTTAACTTCTTTTCATAACAAATTGTCACCAGCTACAAAAATTTACAATGTGCATATTCCTAAGTGCACTTCTGTGAATATGCTATATAGTCCCATGTTGTTGTTGTTGTGTTGTTATGTGCTGTTGAGTCGGACCTGACTCATAGCGACCCCTCCTTGGGTTTCTGAGGCAGTTATCACTACGGAAGTAGATTGCCCCATCTTCCTTCCAAGGAGTGGCTGGTGGGTTTGAACCGCCAGCCTTCTGGTTAGCAGTCAAGTACCTTAGGCACTACACTACCAGAACTCCTACAGTTCCATATGACTGTACAAAATTATGTAAAAACATCCATTATATACTGCTTACGGTGGTCAAAAACTAGCAACAGTTTAAATGTTTATCAATAAAGGATTAAGTAAATTATGGCACACCTACAATATAGAATAGGATGTATAATGTTCCAACTCATAGCGAACCCCGTTGGGTTTCCGAGTAAGTAGATTTTTATGGAAGTAGATTGATCGCCCAGTCTTCCTTCCGCAGAGTCGTTGGTGGGTTGAGCCGCCAACCTTCTGGTTAGCAGTCAAATGCCTTAGGCACTACGCCACCAGAGATCCTTACGTATAGTATTAAAAAAGGTAATGATGATAAACTGATGTACACAAATAAAACCATATAATACACAGGAAAATATTGTATAATGATTTGTATTAAATTCCTTTTATGTAAAAAAAAAAAAGTGTTATGTGAAAATAATTTATACAAACAAAATATATCAAGTAGGATGCATTCTAAGCTGTTGTCAGTGGTTTTCTCTGTTAGGAATAGAATTTTTGAGGGAAGAGTGAAGAAAAAGACTCTTTTTTCCATTTTTTTAACACCTATACTACTTTTTTTCCTAAACAGTAAACAAAGATTACTTTAGAGCAATTTTCAAAATTTTTTTTAAATGATAATGTGTTTGAGTCTACCTACAGCTTAGAGTGGTAAATGATATTCTTCCAAAGCTCCTTTTGTCAGAGAACACAGAATGGCCCCAAATATTGAGCTAATTATTATAATGATATTCCTAAAAATGAAATCCCATTTGTATTGTAATAAAAACAATTTTACAAAAGTCGTGTATATAGGTGCACAGGGAGACAACTCAGGGGGCAGGAATACATGGAGGGATGGCCACAGGGAAGAGGTAACTATCGGGAGAAAGTGGGAGGGGAGCTGCGGCACTGGGGTAAATTGTAGTCAATGTCATGAGACAAAGGGTATATGAACTGCTGCATAGAGACTGAAAATTTGCTCTGTAAACTTTCACCCAAATCACAATTAAAAAAAAGTAGTGTATATAGGGTACTTTTAACTATATTTTGTTGAGATTTTATCACATAAAATACAGTCTATCATGGTTTGCAAGGTCTCTCGTGATCTAGTCCTGGAATTCTCAAAGATGAATATTCATGGAATTCACCTGTGGATTATACTAAATATAAGTTCTGATTCAGTAGTCTAGGATAGGGCCTGAAGAGTTCCACAGAGCACACTCAGAGTAACAAGGATCTATCCCAAGTTCATATGTTATCATGCATACTTCAGATACAGTGAATTAGGGCTCTTCCCCACCCCCATACACAACATGTTCTTTATCCCTCTGTGTGTTTTATACCTTATTCTTCTGCCTAAGTGTTTTTCCTCTCACTTTCTCCATCTCAAAAACCTTTACTCCTTGTTACAGGTTTAATTAAAAAAAGCAGGTATCTCAGGCAGATATAGATACTCCTTCTTTTGTACTCCTTGAGGTTCCTATGCATTTATGTCCCAGATTTTATCATATATGTTATGCACATGTCCATATCCCTCAGGAGACTATGAGTTTGAGGATATAAAATGTCTTGTATCCTCAGCACACAGATACTCAATAAATGTTTTCTAAAGAAAAGTCAGTAAGACACTGCGTTTTTGCCACCATCTTTAAAATAACAATTATCACAATCATTTTTATTCCATAACATTTTAAGATAATATTCAGAAAAAATAGGTAATCTCTTATATTAAAACATAAGACAATACTGAGATTAAAAATTAAAGTAAAATGTCACATTATTTCATATTTACCTTATTGCTAATAAAAGAAGTCAAGTAAATTCACTCAAGTTTGGGATAAAATGTAACAACAAAGACTCTACTCTTTGGTACTCTTTGAGCTTAAATATTTAAAGAAAAAACAAGAATAAATATCAAATTTCTAATATACCTCTCCCCCTTTAATTTTTAGGACCTTTTATTGTATGTTAAAAACAAATGGCAGAATAACACCTTACATCAATGCTTTCCCACTTACCTTCCTCATCTATCCATTTCATGGTGAAAAGTTGTTCATTGTCAAAAGAACACATATCTCGAACCTCGCTACAAAGGCCCTCAAAGGAGATTGAAGGTTCAAAATGTGTTATCATGATATCCCTGAAAAAGAATAGGAGTTTTAAGTTTGACAGTTATTAAAATAATGCTTGATGTACTACTGAGTACCTGACAACTTGATGGACTTTCGCAAATCTGTATGTACAACAAAATACATTCCAATAAACTATTATCTCTGTAAAGTAAAAAAAAAAAAAAATCAGTATTAAATAATGACTTAAAAATAAAAATATTGCATTTGTGAGAAACCTTAATTCAACCTTCCCTCCTAATTCAGGAAGCCCACCCTAACTGCTCAGTGATGGTAGTTCCAACTTTTGCTTTAATATATCAGAAACTCACTTCTTAGTGAGGCATTCTACTCCATAGAGGAACAGCTCTATTACTGATAAGTTTCTGTCTTCTATTTATCTGGAATCTGTTCAAACTTTTAAAAATATTTATTTTTGATGAAAATATACACAGGTCATACTACCCATTCAACAATTTCTACGTTTACAATTCAATGGCATGGGTTATGCTCTTGACATTGTATCACCATTCTCACTATTTCTCCCCATACTGTTTCACTACTACTGACATAGACTCACTGCCTCATCTATGCATTAGAATTACTTTTGTCAATTTGCTCTAACACAGATAATTTTTTAAAGGAGCAACAAAACTCAAGGCAAACATTCTTTATTAATTCAGCTAAACTGTTGGTTAGTTTGAAGATGACTTCAGGAGATAGTTTCTGTTCCATATTTAAAAATTTTTCTCAGGGCAACAGATCTGGGGATTCTTCCAGCCTCAATGGGCCCAGTAAGTCTAAGTTCTATAAGAAATTTATAAATCCTGTTGCATGTTTTCCCCTCTTTTGGTCAAGACTAATTTATTAAGCCCTTGATCAAAATATTAGTAATGGTAGCCAAGTACCATCCAATTCGTGTGGTCTCACTGCACAGAGGTAGTAGTTTATTGAGTCTGTGGAGTCAACTAGACCTGCAGTCCAATCATTCTCTAGTTCCTTGCTATCCTTCCTCCTCTGCTACTCTAGATGAACACAGACCAACTGCTGCATGTGGTTCCAATTTATATTCTCACCCTGGCCCCACCATTTCCAACAGACATACTCTACCACAGTCAGCTGGTTTACTCATAACCCCCACATATAGGACCTTGATCATCCATATCTTTAATCCTGATATTCCCTCAAGTTAAGGCTGAGTTTATTGGGGGAAATAACTTTAGCAGGTGTGTCAAAATCAACTTCCATTAAACTTTTTCAGCCACACAAGCCAAATGATCTTTACTTCTAAACCTGTCCAACTTGTATCTTATATTCCATCTTTTGTTAGTTAGCTCACTGTATTCTGATGGCACATTCTCAAATTATAAACAACTTGGAAGGTAAGAATTCTTAGACTCTTTGGCAGGTCTACAGTATCTGCGGTGTAGTAAATTACCTTGTATGGCTTTTCTAGCCATACGTCTTTGTAAACTCCATGGTGGAATTTGCTGTGGGAAACTGAGTAGCTTCTGATTGTTAAAATCATCCACCTGGGGTATTTCTTTTGGGAGTGGCACAAATCAATGTTCTGGGAGGTTCCTGCTCTCTCTCAGGTGCTTAGAATTCTGATGTTATAATTGGTTGGTTTGGCCACTCTGCCGGGCTCAAAAGGAGGCCTCCTAGAGGCAGAAGTCTCTCTGACCTCTGGCTGAGGAAGATGTGTTGCTGAGAAAGAGACACCGAGAGAGATGCACTGCTGAGAAAGAGACTGAGAGAGACTGAAAAAGACTGTTGGGTGAGAGACAGTGGGCTGGGAGAAAGGCTGAACATCGTTCCTGAGCTTGAATTGTAGCCTGGCACTTCCCTAATAAACCCCATAATCTGTGGGAAAAAAAAAAAGAATTCTTAGACTTTTGGGAACCTGACAAATGATGACAACAACAAACCAAAAAGAGGGAAAAAAATCTGTGTCGTTACAGAACTTCTAGATGGTAGGGAAGTCAAGAAAACTACAAGATAGAACAGACTGTTCTACACTTGGGAAGAAAACTATAAATCACAAGGTAACCTCAAAGAAAAATGATAAACCTCCACATCAAAATAAAAGAGGACCAGCATAAATATTCAGCAAATACTAAAACAACAGCAATGAAGGAAATGATAACACGATTCATAAACAAAATGAGCTCAGCATAGAAAATTATATGGAACAAAGAAATCGACACAATGAAAAAGCACATGACAAAAATGACAGCAACAAATTCATATTTGCGATAATTATATATCTGGCAAGGGACTTATCTCTAAGATTGATGGAAAACTCCAACACCTCAACACCAAAGGAGTAACAATCCAATTGAAAAATGGGCAGAAGACATGAATAGACACTTCACCAAGGAGGATATTCAGGTGGTCAGCTACATGAAGTTGTTGTTGTTATGTGCCATCGAGTCGGACCCGACTCATAGTGACCCCTCCTTGGGTTTCCGAGGCAGTATCACTACGGAAGTAAATTGCCCCTTCTTCCTTCCTAGGAGTGGCTGGTGGGTTAGAACCGCATGCCCTCTGGTTAGCAGTCAAGTGCCTTAGGCACTATGCTACCAAAGCTCCTACCAGGAGTGTAGAGCTAAGCCACCAGGGCTTAGCACACTTATTTTTTATGTAGCCTTCTCAAGTAGTGATTGTTTTGTCTCCTATGGGCCTTTTTCATTTGAGCCTGAAATTGCATCTCTTTCTCTCTTTTATATTCAGAACAGTGTTACTCTCTCCTTCCAAAAAAAGCCTCCAAAATTGAAACTTCTGTCGTCAGACTGTCACATACTTGCTAACTCTCTTTGTTTCTGTTAACTACATCCAGGTCAATCTCTTTCATTCCTTGAATAAGTGATACCTCCATTACATTCCCCAGTACAACAGAGAGATGTAAATCAAAACAACAATGAGATATACCATCTCACCACAGCACTGATGGCAAGGTTCAATGAGACAGAAAATAACAAATGCTGGTGGGGATGTGGAGAGATTGGGACTCTCATACACTGCTTGTGTGACTGTGAAGTGACACAGCCACTATGGAAAGCAATATGGCGATTCCTTAGAAAGTTGGAATTGG